AAATGTATAAAAACCATATTGGAGCCAGTTGTTCCAATCTATTAAGAAGTATATCATGCTTGGTAAAGTGGAGGGTCAATGAAAAAGGGGAAGGCCCTCAACAAGATGGATTGACATAGTGGCTGCAACAATGGATATAGGCATAGCAAGGATTGTGAGGCTGCAGGACCAGGCAGTGTTTCATTCTGTTGTACATGGGGTCGCTATGAGTCAGAGCTGACTTGATAGCACCTAACAACAATAATTAAGGATTTAAAACTTGATTTTATAAGCCAGTATACTAGTTATCCATCCCTATGTGTTGTTTCCAGTTTTGATAAACTGCCCTTTGTGTTTTCAAAGGAAAATAATGAACGATTTTAAGATCCAGATATTTGCCAATGATAGCCATCTAGTAACCCTTTTAAAAATGGAAGTGAAGTTGTTTGGGTCTAACTTAATTTAGTGAATTTGTGGGCACCTGATGGTCACATTTTAGGTAATTCCTCAGATATGACATGTTCACTGAGCCCTTTTTAAATTTTGGTATCTGTTGTTAACACTCACTTGTCTGACTTTTGAAAATTGGAACTTTGCCAAGCTCTAGTTTCTGGCGGCCTTCTGTTTGTCATTTCCCCCCAAGGCTCTTAGCAATGATTCTAATATAATTTGCTTCAACAACATTTGAATTAATCCAGAGATTTGATATCACTGAAAGGCTCAGACTCGTGAAATAGGTTGGTGGTAGCTCAGCTGGTCTTCCATTCCGGGGTTAATCTATGCTGTTCAACCATTTGCTCTGTCTAAAGGATATTTGGCTGGCCTGGAGGATGGTGGCGCAGTGTTTGAGCATGGCTGCTTTAGTGGTTAGGAGCATGACTGGATTCAGACAGAACTGAGTTCTTTTGAATTTCACTTCTGCCATTCATTAGCAGTAGGACTTGATAACTTACCTTGCCTTGTCAAACCCACCATCACTGAGTGAATTCCGACTCATAGCGACCCTTTAGGACAGGGTAGAACTGCCCCATAGGGTTTCCAAGGCTGTAAATCTTTGTGGAAGCAAACTACCTTGTCTTTCTCCTGCAGAATGGCTGGTAGGTTCGAACCACTGATCTTTTGGTTAGCAGTCAAATGCCTTAACCACTGTGCCACCAGAGCTAGAGCTCCTTGCCATCCATACCTCTATGATAAAGGTTCCTACCTCTCAGGTGAGGATTAACTGAAGCCTTTAATGAGAAACTCATTTGGGTCCTTGGTAAGGGTTCTTTCCACTGTGTGTGTTACTATTCTAGTTCACTGGGTGAGGCTACTGGTCACACTAGGGAACCTAGAGAGGAAGTCATTTATTTGGGTTCCGGGGCCTGCAGGGGCTACCACTTTCTCACAGTGGTCTGCGGGACTGACTGGCAGGGCCCTGGGGTTCCTGAGCTTGGAGCAGCTGGATTTTAGCCACAACCAGCTGGCCCACCTGCCCACAACTTATCAGCCACCTTAGGCTCTCTCCTCTAGCTGGGCTTCTCCCACAACCTGCTCACTGCCCTGGACACCTACAGCCTGCAGGGCCTGGGAAGCCTGGAGCAGCTCGACCTGAGCTCCAACACGTTGGTTGGGATGGCTGCAGTTGGCCTCAGTGGGCTTTTCTGCCTGCACTGGCTCTTACTAGGCAGGAACCAACTGCACAGTTTGAGGGCATGGCCCTGGCTGCCATGCTGGGCCTGGAGGTCTTCTCTCTAGCTGGGAATAATGTCAGTGAGCTGGAAGCCAAGGCCTTCACAGCCCTGCTGGAACTGGGCCTCTCATGGACAACCAGCTGTAGTACCTCGAGTTCAAGGTGGTGGTGGGCATCCAGACAGTGGGCATGAGGCTGCTGTTGGCCAACAACCCTGAGCATGTGACTGTGACCTGCAGCAGGTCTTTGGGATATTGGGCAATTTGCAGCACCTGCATGTGGCTGACCTGGGCAACCTGACCTGTGCTGGGCCCAGGTGGCTGGCAGGGGTGGTACTGAACAGCATACAGGCCTGACTCTGCTTGGCTGAGACGGTCACTGTGTTGGGCATCATGGACACTGTAGCACTGGCTGTGGTCATGGTTGAGTGCAAATGCAGGCATGGCCTGGGGGAGTGGGAGAACTCTGTGGAGAAATGGGTGCTGGAAGAGGGAGGTCATGGCAGCTGGAGGAGAGAGCAGAGGGAGCTGTGGGGGAGGTGGAGAAAGTCCTCAAGTTAGGCTGGGGGTGGGTCAAAGACGAGCCTTCTATGTTCAGAGCCTAGAACCCCCTCCCCACTTCCTACCCCCCTCCTCTGACCTGTCTCAACCCTAGAAAGTGGGAATTGGCCCCTGGTCTGTCACTTAACACTCCTCTGGGGAAGAGGCAGTAAAAGGGAGAGGGAATGAAGCCCAGAGGGAACTGGGGCAATAAGGCAGATACCAAGGCAAGCTTCCCTAATCCTAAACTGCAGTCCCCTCCTTATGCATGTCCCAGGCCTCTACTTGATTGTAAACTGGCTGCTGAGGTTATAGTGAGAGGGTGGACATTGGCCTGGTGGGAGCCAATTTCAACGGTCCAAGCAGATTTCTCAGACTATATTATGGACATGTACCACCCCAGTTCTGGTCTTTCTCACCACTTCAGCCCTGTTCTGAGAGGGCTGTGCATTTGCCTGTCCATTTCAATCAGGGATGAGTGAAGAGACTGGAAAAATAAAACCAGTGGGAAAGTTGATTTTGTACTATGCACCTGTATTTCGGGGATGGAAACTATGATTTTCACTGGCTGGTGGAGGTAGGCAAAATGCCCTTTAATCCAGTGTTTCTCTCATTCCCTTCAGTTGGAGAGCTCCCCACTCACTACCATACACCTACACAATCCCACTCCTTAGATCTTTGCATGGACACATACTTCTCCCTATTCTTTCTGATATACCCAGACTATCCTACTGACTTTGTTTTAAAAAATGAGATGTGAACATATTTAATGTTTTGTTGCCTCACTTTCAGCTGGCTGATGAGAATTTGAGATTAACATTGTCAGAAATGTTGTTTGTATGTTAAGTCTCATTTTTCCTCCCCAGGGAACTGGAAATAGTTCCTGGATTAAATGACCTCCAGGGGGTACTTGCAGGGTCTTAACTTCAACACCTGAAGATGAATTCATACGTTGGGGCGGACATAGGAAGATAGGTGGGAATAGCTTTGTGATGGCAACTCCAGAGTGCCTGGAACTCTTGCCCATTTATTCATCCAACAGTTCTTTACGGAGCACCTATTAGGAACTAGGCATAGATACTTAGTTCAGTTATTTAGCTATTTAGCACATATTTCCTGACTGCTGCTTGTATACTAGGCCCTGAGGATGTAATAGTAAACAGAAACCAGACAAGATCCTTGTAGTCATAAAACTCAGCCTAGTAGGGAATGAAGGGGCTCTGGATGGTGCTGTGGTTAAAGCATTGGGCTTCTAACAAAAAGCCTGGTGGTTTGAACCCACCAGTCACTCCACGGGAGAAAGATGAGGCAGTCTGCTTCATTAAAGATTTAAAGCCTTGGAAGCCCTATGGGGCAGTTCTACTCTGTCCTGTGGGGTTACTATGAGTTGGAATTGATTTGACAGCAGTGGGTTTAGTAGAGAAGGCAGTCATTAATAAAATAATCAAATATTACAATTGCCACCTTGTTAAGTATCTCAAAATAAGGGTATTTGAAGTTACAAGAACATACAATAGTGGAGCTGAGAACAGATTGGCAGGAGGCCAGAGGAAGTTGGCTCTGGTAGCGTAGTGCCTAAGGCACTTGACTACTAATCAGAAGGCTGGCTGTTCAAACCCACCAGCCACTCGAAGGAAGATGGGGCAATCTATTTCCGTAATGATACTGCCTTGGAAACCCAACGAGGGGTCACTATGAGTCGGGTTTGACTCGGACCGAACGTAACAACAAGGAGGAAGTTAGGGAGACCAGTTGAAAGCCTGCAGCAATTAAACTGACAAAGATGGTAGTTGGAGCTAGCATGGAACAATGAGAGCTGGAGAAAGGAGACTGACTTGAGATGTCCCATATGTTCCCATCAGACCACCTTCTTTCAAGAAAGGCTAAGACCAAATTTCTCTATAGGTGATCCTTAGCTAGAGAACAACAGAAACAGAGGGATTTTCTTGAGTATGTGTGTACCATTTATTGAACCCCTAGTATGTGCGAGGACAACACTCTCACATCTAAACCTCACAATCTTGTGAAGTAAGTGTTATTATCCCCATTTCATAGATGAGTCTCTCAAAGTTTTGTGGTGTGCCCAAAGTCAAAGAGTTGTGGCTAGGCCTGGAGCATTCAAAGATTCTATTTAAAACAAAAACTGCTGTGGAGTAAGTTTCGATTCATAGCGACCCCTTCTTGGGTTTCAGAAGTAGATTGCCCAGTCTTCCTTCAGAGGAGTGGCTGGGTGGTTTGAACTGCCAGCCTTCTGGTTAGCAGTCAAATGCCTTAGGCACTACACCACCAGAGCTCCCATTCAAAGATTTGTTGTTGTTGTTATGTGCCGTCGAGTCGGACCCAACTCATAGCGACCCCTCCTTGGGTTTCCGAGGCAGTATCACTACGAAAGTAGGATTGCCCAACCTTCCTTCCGAGGAGTGGCTGGTGGGTTTGAACCGCCAGCCTTCTGGTTAGCAGTCAAGTGCCTTAGCCACTATGCTACCAGAGCTCCCATTCAAAGATTAGTTCGCTTCAATACATCAAACTGTGATCCAAGGCTTCTGTGGTCTTGAACCCACTATTCCTTCCTCTAGTCTAGTTTTCGATTTTGCAGCTCCAAGGAGGGAGTCTTAACGTTCTCCATGATCAGAGAATGCCACTGCGAGAGGCCTGCCTCTGCTCCGGAACTAGGGAGCGAGAGCCTTGTTCCCGTACGGAAAGGGGTTTTAAAAAAAAAAAAAAAAAAAAGCGCAGCTTCCGGAAGCGGTGTCTCCCTTACCCGCGCCGGCCTCCTGGCCGGGAATGAGGCCGAAGTGGACTGCCCTTCTCCAAGATGGCGTCGAAAGTGGGTTCGCGACGGTGGATGCTGCAGCTGATCATGCAGTTAGGTTCGGTGCTGCTCACACGCTGCCCCTTCTGGGGCTGCTTCAGCCAGCTCATGCTGTACGCTGAGAGGGCGGAGGCGCGCCGGTGAGTGGTCCCACGCAGCCGCCCAACGTGATCGGGGAAAAGGGACGCGGTACGGCCAGTCCCGGGAACGGGGATGAAGTGGGATCGGGAAGAATTTGGCGCCCAGAAATCGGGGGTATCAGGAGTGGGAGGAATTTGGACCTCGGACATGTTGGGAGGGTCTCTGGTCTGGAGTGAGGTGGATATTGAGCATGGTGCGGGTGTTATGGCCATGAAGGGGTGATCCAGTTTTGGGGGAATTTGGGGGCCTCAAGGCCTCCCTCTCCCCTACTTTTCTGTCCTCGACACTTCCCTGCACTTGGTTCGCAGGAAGCCTGACATCCCAGTGCCCTACCTGTACTTCGACATGGGGGCTGCGGTGCTCTGCGCTAGCTTCATGTCCTTCGGCGTGAAGCGGCGTTGGTTTGCGCTAGGCGCCGCCCTCCAGTTGGCCATTAGCACTTACGCCGCCTACATTGGTGGCTACGTCCACTACGGAGACTGGCTGAAGGTGAGCGGCTTGGCCATAGATGGGGCTTTGGAAGACAGTTGGTGGGCTGTGTGTGACGTTAGCCAGTGCGTAGTCCTAAAGCTGGGAGGGTTGGACCCAGGTTTGGGATTATTATGGAGTGCAGGAACCAGAAGGACTTTAGAAATTACGCAAGCCTACTCTTCACCACTCCTCGGAAGGAAGGTTGGGCAATCCTACTTCCGTAGTGATACTGCCTCGAAAACCCAAGGAGGGGTCGCTGAGTCGGGGCCGACTCGATGGCACATAACAACAACAACTCTTCAACGTATGGAAATTGAGGCCCAGAGATGGGAAGAGACTTTTCCAATGCACAGTACAAGTTAGCATCACAGGTGGGACCACAACCTAGGTCACCTGGTTCACAGAACCCTTTAAAGCATTAGTTTAGTTTTCTTAGTGTAAGATTGCTGATGCCGAGAGAAACCAGGTCAGAAAAATATAAAAGGAGAGTTTATTTAAGAAATGCAAGCATCAGAGTCAGACAGCAGTCGTTAACTATTTTCAGAAGTCTGATAGTCTAGAATTTTGTTTTTTTTGTAACATTCCATTTTGGCTGAGTGCAAATTATTGTGAGGCTTGATTTTATTAACTCTTTAATTGGGAGGTTTGATTTTATTAGCCTTTCACTGTGAGGTTTTATTAACCTTTCACTTAGACTTACAGGATGAAAGAGACTTGAGGATTACCTGATCCAATCATTTTATGAAATTTATTTAATCTCAATCCAGCATTTAAACCTGCAAATACCAAATTTGTCAGGCACTGCAGACTTGGAGATAAGCAAAAGACTTGGAGACAAAGGCACCACCCATGAAGGTAGTTAGAACAGTTGTTGTGTGCCATCAAGTCAGACTGACCCATAGCAACCCCGCCTGGGGTTTCCGAGGCAGTATCACTATGGAAGTAGATTGCCCAACCTTCCTTCCGAAGAGTGGCTGGTGGGTTTGAACTGCCAGTCTTCTGGTTAGCAGTCCAGTGCCTTAGGCACTGTGCTACCAGAGCTCCCAGTTAGAACAGTAGGAGAGGCATATGTGTGAACAATCACAGGACAATAAGATCAGTGGGGATTATATATATATAATGGAACAGATTCTAACTATGTAGAGGAAAGAACATTGGGATTAGTCTAGAGACCTTAGGGTGGGGAAACGTGGTGTCTGGGTTCTGCCACTTACTTTCTGTAGGACCTTGGACAATTAATCCCTATGGGCCTTAGTTTCTATTTGTACAAAAACAATGATCTATCCCTGCTTTACCTATCCATCATCCTTGGAGATGGTAAGAGGGTTTGTCAGATGGAATGTGATGATAGAGATGAGCAGTTCTATGCTCCAGGCAGCCAGGACAAACGTGGTTGGCTGCAATTCCTAACTGGTGTTTCCTCGCCCTGGCCTAGGTCCGTATGTACTCGCGCACAGTTGCCATTATTGGCGGCTTTCTTGTGCTGGCCAGTGGTGCTGGGGAGCTGTATCGCCGGAAACCGCGCAGCCGCTCCCTGCAGTCCACCGGCCAGGTGTTCCTGGGCATCTACCTCATCTGTGTGGTAGGTTGGGGACTGATGGCTAGAGGTGCCTGGCTGGGAGTGAAGTGTGAGCCCAGAGGGGTGAGCAAGGCCTGCATGTAGGCCCTGAGGGCCTGGCTCCTAAGAACTGTCCTGGCTAGCTTCTGGGGTATCAGGGGCCCTCCGAGTACTGAGGCCTGCCCAGGAGTCCCTTCTTCCACCATTATTGCCACTAGGGAGAGAAGAGATTGGACTGACCCATGTCTCATGGGGACAGAGGAGAGGTTTGGTGGAGTTCAGGCCCCAGATGGGACTCTGCCACCTAGAGCTGTTGGGGACCTCCCAGGGTAGCAAGTTCCAGTTGTCTCTGGTGCTAGGGGAGGCCAGTGTGAATGGGGATGTGGACAGGCCCCAGGCCACTTGGCCTTATCTTTGTTACTGGGCACCAGATAGTGTGTGCAGAGCTCTGTGGGTTCCTACAGGATAATCAGGTGGGAGCTCCCAATCTGATGACAGGACGCCATTTGCCCTCAGAGCCCTCAGGGTGAGGGGAGATATAGGCCCAAACCCCTTGGAACTCCCCTATCGGAGGGGGAGAAACAGCCCTGCTTCCAGAGAGCCCCAAGTCTGAGAGGGGAGTCAGAAGCCCACCTTGCAGAGGCTATCTTGTGGCGCTGTCTCAGGTGGCCTTCCCCAGCTAGGCTCCTGGGCCTGCTGGAGAGTCTTTGAGAGGACGATGTGTTTCAGGCCTACTCACTGCAGCACAGCAAGGAGGACCGGCTGGCGTATCTGAACCACCTGCCAGGAGGGGAGCTGATGATCCAGCTGTTCTTTGTGCTGTATGGCGTCCTGGCCCTGGCCTTCCTGTCAGGCTACTATGTGACTCTGGCTGCCCAGATCCTGGCTGTGCTGCTGCCCCCCATCATGCTGCTTATTGATGGCAATGTTGCCTACTGGCACAGCACACGGCGTGTCGAGTTCTGGAACCAGATGAAGCTCCTTGGAGAGAGTGTGGGCATCTTCGGGGCCGCCATCATCCTGGCCACCGATGGCTGAGTTGCACAGGGAGCCACCGAGGGCCACCTTGCCTTCCTCCTTGCTGGCTCGGGTGCTGCTTGTTCGTCCTTTTTGATGTGTTTGTTTGATCCTTTGCTTTTTTAGCGTCGGTAAGAGGCAGGTCCCTTCCCCAAATTCCTGGACTTATCCCTTGGGAGGGCGGGAACCCTTGCAGGTTTGCTCCAGTTTGTTTTGAAGAGAGCTGAGGGCCAGCTGTACCCCAGGAACTCCTGTCCCTGAGCAGGCATAAGGCAGGGCTGGGTGGGGGCACTGACCAGTGAGAAACAGAAGAAAGAAGACAGAACTACAAATGAGCAAATATGAAAAATTCCATTTTGAACCTGGAGGATGCAGCTAGGCTCTGCAGTGCTTTGTGAAGACTGAGTGTGTGTGTGTGTTGGCCCTGGCCCACATGTATCAGGCCTGGGAGGAACAGAGGGGCCAGGCACCACAGAAGTCATGTGGGTTCTCAGGGTATGCTGGGGCAGACAGTATGAGCTTTCTAGCACCCACCTGGAGAGCAGTGCAGTTGCCATCTGCTCTGGCGTGTGCAGGGGGAGGGTGGGCAGCAGTCAGCTTCCTGCCTCCTGCTGTGTCCAGCTTCATGGTTGGCCTGGTGGGAGTGGGAATGCCCTCCCAAACACCAGACCACACAGTCCTCCAGAAATAAACATTTCTATGGACATTTCTCTTTGCTTCTCTGTTTTCCCCATAGTGCACTTTGCCATTGGTTGGGGTTGATCCTGGGCTCTTGAAGGACTGTACCTGGTTAAGCCCCACCGTGCTCCTCACAAGATCTTTTCCGTTCTGAGTGCTCTCCCAGTCCATTGGCTCTGTATTCAAGAATCTCACAGTACGTGCTTTTGCTATCTAACCTCAGTCCCTTTTGTTGGAGCTTGTCTTTTTCTTCTCCATGTGGTGCAGCTGTTTTTGGAGAAATCTTTGGCCAAAGGCAGCTAGAGGGAGAGAACCAACATTAAGATTCTATTACGAGGCCAGATATTATCTCCATTTTACAGATGAGGAAATGAGGTTCAGAGAAGGTAAACAGCTTGCCTAAAGCCACAGAGCAAATTGGGGATTGAATTCCAGCTCAAAACCAAAAAACCAAACTCACTGCCATCAAGTTGGACCTGACTCATAGCAGCCCCTCCTTGGGTTTCCGAGGTGGTATCACTGTGAAGTAGATTGCCCAGTCTTCTTTCCGAGGAGTGGCTAGTAGGTTTGAACTGTCAGCCTTCTGGTTAGCAGTCAAATGCCTTAGGCACTATGCCACCAGAGCTCCTTGAATTCCAGGTCAGGCTGTCTAATACTCAACCTGATGCGTATTAGACATGACCTGTCTCCCAAGGGAAGACATGCTGCTCTTAGGACCTTGGTTCTGTCCAGCCCCTGGTGTGCTATGATGGTCTCCTAAGTGTCCATCTCCCCACTTATTCATACACTGCTTGACAGGAAGTAGCCCCAGCAGCCAGTGTGGGATCTAGCACCTAGTTGGAGTTCAAAAAATGTCTTAAGAAACCTGGGCTTTGGACTCCTGCCCCTTGAAGTGTCCTGGTCCTGTAGAGACTGTTCAAGTCTGGGCTTTTAACCAAAGCCATCTAGTGATGGCGTCTCTAGGGTCTGATAGGCAGAAGACAGGCTATTGCCTTCTGGACTTGGCTCTGAGCCCACCCTTGCTGGGCTTGCATGAGTCAGGGAGCCAGGCTGCTCCTAGCACCTGGTCTGTGGAATGGAGAATGTTTCCCACCTTTGGGGTGGGGAGTCCATCTGGGGACACTGACACCCAGGTGAGGGACATGGCAGCAGCATTCATCTTTGGGGCCCTCCATTTTACTTAGCTTCCTCTAGGAGCCCCTGGGTCCCTAGCTGTCATGTTTGGCTCCCACACGGTCACTGTTAATTTCCTTTAAATGTGAGCTCTCAGACAAGTATCTGCATTTTAATCAAGGCCTCCTGAAAGGTTGCAAGACCCAAAAAAATGAAAATGGGTGGTGGAGTATCATGCAGGTGGGGGTAACATATTGGGCAAGGGAGCCTCAAAACAGCACAGAGCCTGCAGAAACCTGTCCTCCCTCAAGGTTCCTCTGAGTGGAGCCCTCCAAGTCAACCCCAAGGCTGAGACTTGAAGACCATTTGGCCGGCCCCTCCTTCCTGGGTTCGTCCCACTTGGCGATTGGGGGCTGCTCTCTGCTTTGCAGATCACTCAACCAGCAGGCATGGCTTTTGGTTCACCCTGGCTCTCCCAGGGCCTGCAGGACCTGTGGTGAAGGTCAGCTGCCTGGGTCTGAAGCTGGCTTGCGGAAGGAGTCCGGCAGCCCCTTGGCGTGATTGACCAGTTCATAGGAGTCCCGGATATCAGCCAGGCCGAACCAGAAGAAGATCCACTGCTTGTTGGAGAAGCTGCCATCACTGTGCTTGAAGTACCTGGAGGTGGGGGTGGGGACGGGGTGAGGCACATTTAGGGCATGACCAGTGCCCGCTCACTGGTTCTCTCAAAGAGCATATACTAAGGAGCTACTATATGCTAGTCACCCTCCTGGGACCGGCTGTGTGTTTTCTGATTTCATCTTCACTGCAGCTTCTCCAAACCTCACATTATGCTCACTCACAGTGAAGCAGCTAAGGCTCAGAGAAGTTAGGTAACTTCCCAGGGTCACACAGGAGGGTCAGAGGGAGGGTATGCCAGATGGTATCCCTTGCTGTCGCCACAATCCTTGGCTGTGCAGCAATAGGGAGAGGTTTTTGTTCCCCTCTTGGTGCGACCCCTCCTTGGGTTTCCAAGGCAGTGTATCTCTGGAAGTAGATGGCCCAACCTTCCTTCTGAGGAGTGGCTGGTAGGTGTGAACCGCCAGCCTTCTGGTTAACAGTCAAATGCCTTAGGCACTACGTCACCAGGGCTCCCTATGAGTTGGAAACAACTTGACAGCAGTGAGTTTTATTTTTTGGGTTTTGGTGTCACAGAGCGGGATAATGGGGATGAGGGCATAGTTGCTGAAGGCAAGAGAGGAGAGGGGGTGCAAAGATAGGTCTGGAATAGAGCCTGAAGGGTTAGGACTTCTCTGCAAGCCCTGTGGGAGCTTGGGGGTGTTACTCCCTTCCAGGGATGCCCTGAAGCAGGACAGAGCAGGGTTCTGTGTGGCCTGCCTCTGGGTACTCTTGGTGTATTCTGCCCTCTGGGGAATGTGGAACTACACTAGGCAGGGCCTTTGTGGGGGTGGCAGGGAGACAAACTATTCTTCCCTGGGGGTTAGATGACCAGAGCCCGAGCGCAGAGGAGGGGTGATGCCCAGCCCAGAGCTGCCAGGGGCAGGACTTACCAGGAGTTGATGGGGTTGGTGACCCGAGAGCGCCAGAAAAGAGTCTGCAGGTCCCGCCGCAGACACTCCCACAGCATCTGGCCCGAGCCCTGGCCCTGGCGGCTAGAGCTCACCACGAACTTGTCCAGGTACGGGGTGCCTCCCAACACCGGCTCCATGGTCAGAATGGCGGCCGCGTTGTACCTGGTGCAGCAGGAAAGAGACAGGCTAAGATCTCCCATTGCCCCCGAGCTGCCCAGCTCTGTCACTTGGTCCCTGCCCTCTGGAGCTTGCCGGCTCACCCCTCAGAGACATAGATGGAGTGCAGCCGTGGGCGCAGTGAGGCCAGGTAGTCATCCCGGAGCTTCTTGCCAAAGCTGGCATTGACCAGGTTCACCAGGCAGCCCTGGTCGAGGCTGTCAAGGCTCTGAACTCGAAGCATCCGCTCTGCATTCTTGAACAGCGTCCCAGACCCTGGGGGTGTGATAGAGGACAAGGCGATAGTTAGCCCAAGGCTGGCCCCACACCCTCTTCCTCTGTTTCCACTACCAATTGGGGTTCCAAGAAGAGCAGAGGCTGGTGGGACAATCACCCTGTTTAGGAATTTGCCACAGTGAGAAATCTCTGTCCTCTGCATAGACCTGGGTGTGACTCCCCCTCCAGGAGATGCTTTTCCCAGGCAATTTGTCCTCCGAACACCACCCCATTGCCTGTGTAGTCCCATTTGTTGTTGCTGGGTGCTCTCCAGTCAGCTCCGACTCATAGCGACCCCACGTATAACAGAAAGAAACACTGCCCAGTCCTGTGCCATTCTCACAGTTGTTGCTATGTTTGAGCCAATTGTTGCAGCTACAGTGTCAATCCGTCTTGGTGAGGGTCTTCTTCTTTTTGCTGACCCTCTTCCAAACACGACGTCCTTCACCAGGGACTAGTCCCTCCTGATAACATGTCCAAAGTACATGAGACAAAATCTTGCCATTCTGGCTTCTAAGGAGCATTCTGACTATATTTCTTCCAAGACAGATTTATTCATTCTTCTGGCAGTCCATAAAAACCAAACTCATTGTCATTGAGTTGGATTCGACTCACAGACCCCTCCTTGAGTTTCCAAGGCAGTATCACTACTGAAGTAGATTGCCCAATCTTCCTTCTGGGGAGTAGCTGGTGGGTTTAGAACCTCCAGCCTTCTGGTTAGCAGTCAAATACCTTAGACATTATGCCACCAGAGGTCCTCTGGCAAACCATGATGTATTCAGTATTCTTCCCCAATATCATAGTTCAAAGGCATCATTTCTTTGACCTTTGTTCATTGCCCAGCTTTTTCATGCATATGAGAATGAAAATACCATGAGTAAGGCACACCTTTTCCCTCTAAGTGACATCTTTGCTTTTTTTCACTTTAAAGAGGTCTTTTGCAGCAGATCAGTCTAATGCAATGCGTGGTTTGATTTCTCAGCGGCTGCTCCCATGAGCGTTGACTGTGAATCCAAGTAAAATGTAGTCCCACTTTTTTCCCCTAATCTTGCCTATCTTCCCAAATCCTGTACTTGGCCCCGCCCGCCACCCTAAGCCACGCCCGTTCCCCCCCCCCATCGTCTGCGGTCGGATTCCTTAGTTCCACTCACGCTCCATCCAAAGGCAGTCCATCTCCTTGCCCACCGCCCCAAAGGCAGGAAGCCACTGCTGTGGCACCCTGCTCTGGCTTCTGGACTGGCTAGGCAGCCGCTTCTCCTGCCCATGGCCACTCAGGCCCAGCCGGGCCACTGGTGGAACCCAGCCATGCCGGCCCACCCATCCGAGACCCTCACCCTTGTTGCTGAAGAGTTCCGTGAGCAGCGTGCTCGCGGCCGTGATGACGGCGGAGGAGTGGTGTGGTAGTCGGCTGAGTACGTCCACGATGAGCCGCATCTGCTGCCGCTCTTTGGTGCTCACCCACTCGGCGTTAGTGACCAGATCCAGGTCAGCGGGCAGATTCACGTTACTCACGACCTGTGACCCCAGCGAGGGGCGTGAGCCTTCCACCCACGGCCAGCCAGGACCGCTCCCCTGACTACCAGACTGAGTGCCCTGCCCCTACAGACACCTCCTCCCTGACTCCTTCACCTTGACTTCCAGAGTCCTCGCCCAGGGAGGGCTCAGATCTGGACACCACGGGCTGAGCCTCTCTCTGACACTGATTCCATTAGGGTCTTCCGGCCCACCTGACTTGAGAGTGACTCTGCGGCGCCTGGGGGAGGCGTGCAGGGAGAGCAGGAGACGGGGCACACCTTGTGGTGGTTGTCGCGCAGGCCGCCTGTGTTGTTGAGGAAGATAATTTTGGTGGGCTGCAGCGCCTTGGCCAGCGCCGCAGTCACCTCCAGCGAGTCGAGGAGCACCGAGCGGCGCGCAGCCGTCTCCCCGATGGGGCACAGGATGGGGATGCTGCCCGACTCCAGGCACCACTGCAGCAGGTCTGTCTCCACCGACACGATGCCACCATAGCTGTGGGTCAGATACGGTGTTCAAGATGGTCCCGGCCATTCTAGAAGGGGCATGGCGGGCCGGGAGCGCGCTCCGAGGACGCCGGGGCAGGCAGGGCTGGCACTAACCTGGCATGCGGGGCTGGCTCGGCGGCGCCCAGCACAGAGCCGCCGCCAAAAAAGGGCACGGCGGTGGCGGCACTGTGTCGGAGCGCGTCGACCAGCACCTTGCAGCTCTGTGCGAGTTGGGCCTTGGCCTCCCAGAAGGAGAGACAGCCCGAGGGCGCCGTGGGGGCGGGCAGCCCAAGGACCACCAGCGGCTTCATGTCCATGCGCTGCAGGAAGGCCAGGGCGAAGGCCAGGCTGGACACGGCCTGCCTGCACTGGAGCACCTCCTCCTCCACCTGCCAAGGAGGTGACGTTAACCCCGGGGACACCGGTCCCCACGGCTGCTGTACACCTCCCACAAAGCCATTTGCTCCTACAGCCTGGCACAGCCGCCAGGGCCCTCGGCTTGCCCCCCGCCCCAGGAGCTGTCAGCCCTCCACTTCTGACCATCAGAGCCCACCTGCTTGCCCTTTGTCCATCTGGTCCCCTTATCTCTCACCAGTGTTTCTCCTCAGCTCCTCCCTGTGTCCTTGGACTCTGGGACACATTGGGGGGAGGGGTAACAGTCAGCTCCTGTCCAGTTTTCCTTAATTGCACCCGTGAAGAGGGATATCCCTCTTCATAGCATCTCCCTGATGAGCTGGAGTCCCCGGGCTTCTCACTCGGAATGGCCACATGCTTTTGGGGGGGCGGGCGCACAGCCTTGGCCAGTCTTGGGCACTTGTCAGGGCTCTGCTGCCACTCTTCCCGGTTTCGCTGTGTAAGATGCAGCCTGTCCTGCCTTGCCTGAGGGCATGTGGCCACACAATCCCCGTCCCCTCCCTGTGACACAGCCAACGCTGGCGCTCACCTCGATGACGGCGAAGGGCTTGTCCGAGGAGTGGTGGCAAGTCTGGAACTGCGAGAGCCAGTGGCGCGCCTCTCCCGGGCTGGCCCCGCACTGGTTCAGGAAGGCCTGGATGTCTCGCTGCACCAGCGAGCGGCCGGCGGAGTGCTCCGGGAGCTCCGGGCCCACGAGGGGAGCACTGGGCGGGCTCCACGGCGGTTCCTCAGCAGCAGGCGGCGGCGAGGCATCCTCCGCGCTCTCGGTCTCGTACCGGGGCTGCGCAGGCATCCCAACAGTGCTGAGCCGGCGCCCAGGGCTGGCGCTCCCCGCCGCCCGCCGCTGCGCGGTGCCGCTCAGCCTTCGGGAGCCCCTAGGGCCTCGCGGGCGGTGCAGCAGCCCACCCGCAGCGACTGCCCGCAGGGCCCCGGCCACCCGCGCCGTCGCCATGACAACCTAACCAACTTGCCCCCCCACGGGTCACTTTCTGTCTGGAGCGCCCGGCTCTGCCCGGCTCTTAACCTGCCGCGGGGCGGGGCTGGAGCCGGCCGGGGCGCCGCCCAGCCAGGGACCATGAGTCTCCCCGGGCGCATTCGAGAGGGTCAGGCCATGGGTTAAGGGGCGGATTTCCCGGTGACTCCGCCCTAAGGGAGCACGGTACCCACTAATGAGGGTCACGAGGCTGAGATAAGGACGGCGGGAAGTCTTTAATGTGCTGCCAAGGCCGGTTCCAGGAAAGGCTCAGCGGACCCTAGAGTGACTTTGGGGTCTGCAGGGACTTGGAGAGGGCGGATGATTAAAGGAGATCTACCAAAGGGTAATAGGGAACCCTGGTGGCACAGTGGTTAAAGCACTCGGCTGCCAACCAGAAGGTGGGCGGTTCTAACCCACCATTGGAGAAAGATGTGGCAGTCTGCTTCCATAAAGATTTCAGCCTTGGAAATCCTGTGGGGCAGTTCTACCCTGTCCAATAGGATTACTATGAATTACTCAATAGCAATGGGTATTTTGTCTAGGGCTAGAAGGAAGAGCAGGTAGCCTGACTCAGGGAAGGGGCTGGATTTGGAAGGAAAGAGGGGTGGGAAGGAGGGATGGGGACGAGTGAGAGGGTGCTGGCCCTGCTCAGTCCTGTTGTCTGAGCTCTTAGAAGACTCCTATAGATCATGAGGTTACCAACCAAAAGCCAAATCCACTGCCACTGAGTTGATTCTGATTCATAGCAACCCTCATTGGGTTTCCAAGGCTGTAAATCTTTATGGAAGTAGATTGCCTCATCTTTCTCCTGTGGGGCAGCTTGTGGGTTTGCACTGCCAACTTCTGGTTAGCAGCCAAATGCCTTACCCACTATGCCACCAGAGCCCCTTATGAGGCCACCAGGGGTTGCCAAACTCCAGCCGCTGAGTACCACCTTGAAGAATTTTGTTATATACTCATGATTTGAAAGGAATCTTGAAAGCAAGATTTGAAAGGAATTGAAAGATGAAAATTTTCACTGGATGTAACTCTGTTACTTAATACTGTGTCCATGTGTTGGACAACCTTGTGCACCATCAATGGACACATTCACTACCCTCGGACACTTTGATCTAGTCCGACCTTCTGTGGTTATAGAGGGGAGGTGACTTGGCCAAGGTCACATAGCTCATCATCAGTGTCATGGCCAGACTGGGGCATTGGATGTCTTCACCCTTTGCTCTTTTCTTCCTTACAGGTTCTGTGCTTATACTGGGAGCCAGGGCTGCAGGGACTCTGCATAAACAGAAGACAAGGGTCTCGGCTTCTCCCCTGAGCATCCCAGAGGATGCCAGGTGAGTCCACCAAGCCCTTCCTCGGTCTCCTCCACTAATATGCACACACACACACACACACACACGTCCCACACTGTCATAGGCAGGAGACTCCAGAGGAGAAGGGGCACCTGACCTCTCTGATCGCTAATCTCCATCAACTTTTCCATCTTCCTGCTTAGAAATCTTGAGGCCCAAGGCAGGAGTGAAGCAATGGTATGGAGGGTCCGCCCTTCCCCTCACCCCTTTCTCCAGGGCCTACTTTCTCTTCCTTCTTTACTGTTCCCCTCCCCCTTACACAGGTAGACTCCCCAGAATCCGCCAGAGAAGGTGGTCCTAGCCCCTGAGTGCATGCTGATTTTTCTCTCCAAGCTCCTATCTGCCCTCAGAGCCCTGAGCCTCAAATACAGCTTCCCTTTCCAGTGCCCCCCCATCCTAGCTGTTCACAGACCTCTTGCCACATGGGGCTTCTCTTTCCCCCTTTGTTTGGGATTGAATTGTGTCCCCCAAGAATATATGTTTTAAATCCTAACCTCTATGTCTGTGGTTAGGAGCTCTGGTAACATAGTGGCTAAGGCACTTGACTGCTAACCAGAAGGCTGGTGGTTCAAACCCACCAGCCACTCCTTGGAAGGAAGGTGACATGATAGAAGATAGATGCCAGGCCACATGAAGATCACCAAGGAGCCAAGGAAAGTACCTTTCTCCATTGCTGACAGAGACCTTCCCCCAGAGCCAGTGCCCAGAGTTCAGATTTCTAACCTTCTAAACTAAAGGTTAAAACTGTGAAGAAATAAAATTCTGTTTGTTAAAGCCACCCACTATGGTATCTCTGTTATAATGGCACTAGCTAGCGAAGACACCCTCCTTTGCTGCTCTGGAGCTCTGCCCGGTCCTGGTCTATCTTCACTCCTCCCAAACCAGATACATTCCCCTTGTAGGTCCTTCTCCCTAGCCTAGGCTCAGTCAGTGGTGTCACTAGGAGAGTGTGGGGGAGGGGGCAGGTTGGTACGGGGTGTGTATGGCACTGGGTGACATTGTCAGAGGGGGTGACACCAAAATGACTGTCTATAAAACTTTTGTGCAGTGTTTCAGCAGATATTATTTTTTTATAAAAATATCCCTGTGGTTTGTCGTAACAACAAAAACGTTTTTCGTGTTTTTCGTAACCTGTGTTTACATGTATCAATATACCTACAAGACTAAAACTGTGCACTAATTGACTTTTTGAACCTTCTAATGCCCTCCAGCCAGAATTGTCATTATCACCCGATTTCAAGGACACTTTGAGTCACTGGTTTTGTCTGCAGGCGCTACAGGCACACACCAGGCTGTTGTTTTTGTTGCTGCATTGTTTTCACAGTCGCTGATTTTGTCAGATTTTCTGGTGTTTTAGCTACAATATTGTGGTAATCAGTTTGTGAACCTATATCAATAACTTTTTTGGGAAGAAGCAGAATTAAAGGAAAAGAATGAGAAAAACAAAAATAAAGGCTTCCGCTCAGTTTACTAATCATGTTGTAATTAATAACATGATTCATTGTAGAAAGATTTTACAAAATAATTGTGTTTTTAGTATTCCCATAAGCTGAGAAATGTTACATTTGAGCAATTTACAACTGTATTCATCACATATTATTCTATGATTCAGATTGATAATACACATTACTGAGGGTTCTATATGGTTTGGTAGGGGAGGTGGTCCACCATGAGTTGCTGCACTGGGCGACACAGACCCTAGGGACACCACTGGTTCAGTTCTCCCTCCTCCCCGTGAGGGCAAGGGCTGCCTCTCCCTTCGGACTGGACCTCTCTGAAGGCAGCAACTGTGTCTTCCTGTTCTCTGTCTGGGGCTCCCTGAGGGTAGGGCTGATGTCACCTTCCTCAGACTGAGGCCTGCCTGAGGACCACCCATTTCAGTAATTGTCAACAGCATCACCCATTTCCCCTGTGCCCGAGGGGCAGACTCTGGTTGGGAAGCTGCTGCTGACTCCTTTGGGCTTCAGCCCAGGGGGCTGTGTCCCCAGGCAGCCAATGGGGCCCAGGGATGCCCCAGTGGATGATTAACTCCAGTCTCAGTGACCCTGGGGCCACCGTGTCCCCACCACCTTTCACTGGAAGAAGGCCAACTTCTGGCTGGGAAGTTGGCTCTGCTTTCTAGAGGAGATGAGTATGTGTATATGGAGCCAACACCCCTCTCTGACCCCATCTCTTCCTGAACTGGCTTATGAGGCCTACAGGGTCACTGTTGGTGTGGGATTCCAACTTGAATTTCCTTTTTCCCCTCTGGAGTTTTCTTTTCTTTCCTTTTTTTTTTTTTTTTAAGAGCAGAGCCTGCTGCCAATGTGTCCAGAATAAGGGTCCTGGCTTCTCACCAGATCTTGTAGATGATGAGAGCAGAGACCCTCTAACCCCCTCAACACTTTTCCCAACAGGGAGCTTATTTGAGGGGCCAAGTCTTTCCTTCCCATTAGGGCTCTCCTTGGCTGCGACTCAGTGTAGCTGAGCACAGAGGTTATAGGAATCTGGGCAAGGGATGGACCAGGGTTGACACCTGTCAGCCCCACATCACAGCACCTAGAGGGAAGATATACACAGACATAAAGGGTGCACAAATGGGGAGACCCACACCATGCACAGAGAGGCACACAGACACGTGTACACACAGAGGGGTACCCATGGTGGGTACAGAGAGGCACAAACTGGCACCCTCCCACGTTTGCATGCAGAAGTGGCATGCTCAGAGGCTCTCACAATGACCATGTCACACATAGGCACGTGCCCACATACATGGAAAAACATGAAAATACACCAGCTTTAATCACTGACAATTACAAAAACACTTAGACCTGAAGACACAAATATATACAGACTTGTATACATACGTGTATGCACAAACACACACAGATCCGAAGTTAGAAACAGAGGCACGCACACCTGAGACTACACCCATTTACTCATATACAGAGGCACACATCCACACTTATTCACACACATATACGCAGACACACGAACACTGGTGAAACCAAACACTGAATCTAGGGTATTAAAATATACATCAAGACACAAACCTTGAGAAGCACAGACCTCTCCTGAGAGTGCCACTGGCACTGAGCCACAGAGACACACACAGATACACTCAGGTTAGTCAAAGGCAAATGCAGGGCACATTCACTTGACAAAAAGGCTGGTAAGTCAACCCTCCATCCATTCTGTGCCTGCCCCATGCAGCTGAACCTGGTTGCTGCTGGAGAAAGACACATAACCCTGATGACTGCTCTCACTTTAGATTTACAACCATAAACCCTTTTATTCTCTCTCCCAAACAGTAATTTCTCACTTTCTCTTCTCTCTTCAAACTCCTGGCACCTCCTCCCCAAACACTCAGCTTCCTGAGTTAATGAAAGCACTCAGAAAGGACATCCATAGCCCTCCTCATCTCTCAGCATCTGCACCCATGTCTCTGCTTTCTACCTGTGACCAGAGATGAACTGCTCCTGATCCATCCAAAGCCAATCCCTTCACTGGTGCACGGACCCCACCCCCTCCGTGGGCTGCATGGAGAAAAGGAATTGCTCCAGTAATTCTCTCTGTGGCTCCCTCATCAAACTTTCTCTCGTAAGCAGATCATTCCCATAATCATAAGCACAGTTATTTCTCTGTTGTAACAAAATCGCCTCTTGATCTAATCTCCTCCCTCCACCTGCCACTACACTCCCTGGTCAACTAGGTAACTGCAAACAGCTGAACAAACTTGCCACCTCCAGTTCTTCCTCCCATTC